TTGCCACCACGTCACCCCCGAGCCTGCTCTTTTCCAGGCAGGCTGAAGAGTCCCATGGCTTTCAGGCTCTCTTCGTAAGGCCTGTTCTCTTACCCTCTGATCATGAAGATGGCTCTCCTCTGGACTCTCTCAAGCTTTTCCATATCCTTCTTGAGTTGTGAAGCCCAGAATTGAATGTAGAGAATTGAATGCAGTAATTCAGCTTTGGCCTCACCAAAGCCAAGTACAGTGGGAGGATGACATCCTGAGATTTCCTTGAGAGGCATCTATGGATGCAAGCCAGAGTTTGGTTCACTTCACCAGCTGAGACATCACATTGATGGCTCATGTTCATCTTGTGTTCAATCATGACCCCCAAGTCCCTTTCAGCTGTGGTGCTAGCAAGTGTAGTAGGGCCAACTCTATAAGCGTGATGTAGGGTTTTTTTCCCTGGAGGTGAAGCACCTTGTATTTATCCATATTGAATGTCATCAGGTTTATACTATTAGATCTATATTATCTTCATAATTCAAGTAACCCAAACTATTTTATCATTTACTCACAGCCAATGTTTTGAAGGCCAGACTTCCACCTATCAGGAGTATAGGTTGTAGGCATGTTGGTTTAAAAACAGAGGCAGACAAGGTTCTTTTGTGAAATCTAGTATCTTTTATTAGACCAACTCAGTTGAAAAATTTCATTCCAGCCAGGAAGAGCACAGACCAACTGCAGATACTTCCTCAGCTTGATGAAGGGTATTTGTACTTAGAAGCTTGCAAAGAATAATTTTTCTAACTATTTGAGTTGGTCTAATAAAATATATCAGATGGACTTAGACACCCAAGTGCGATTCTGGGTAGGTCATTGAAAATCCACTAATGCATCTACTTTTGTGAAAACCACTGTCTTGCCCTCAAGAATGAGTCACAAAAAACACAAAAAAGGCATCTGAGTCTTCTTACACACCTTATAGGTGGGATGAAATCTCATCTTTGTCTTGCATAGCTTTGACACAAAAATATGGAGAAACTAAACAGTTTTTCGGGGGGGGGTTGTTGGATTTTCTTTGTTTTGTTTTAAGTTTTAGAGGGTTACATGGAATAGGGAACTTAGAAAAGCATCTAAGGTTGTAAGATCTATGAAAAGTCAAAATAGACAAAAAAATAGTGGCACTTGGGAGTGTTTTGTACATCTGTCATCTCAACACTAGTTGAACCCATATGTTTTGTGTGCATATAAACACATATACAGCATTTTCTTTTTATCTAGTTTGCAGCAATGTGGTTCTGAGACAGGAATGAGACTCTTCCAGACTTCGTCCTTAATTTTTCCAAAATGAGTGATATTTTTACTGCTTGCAATATTTTGATAGCTTTAGAGTTATAAGCTCCTTCTACAGGTATATAAACTAATATAGTTTTCTGTGCTATCACTAATAAAAGCTAATGATGACAATTCATATTATTGGTTATTGCAACCTGTACATTGAGCTGTAGATAGAATGCAGATACTGCTTACAGATATAATAGAGAAAGAGTAGAAAACGATTACATTGAAGGAATTATGAATAAATATAAGGAAAAAGTAGAGGCTTAGAGAATAGGATTGCACCATGTTTCAGAAAGAATGCAAAATCCAGAAGGAAACAATACATCCTGAGACGAAACCTTAAAAAAAAAATCGTTAAAGATTGATCTATGTCTCCACTGAAGAACCTGGAAAAGGGATGATCCAAAAGAACATTAATATTTGTATTAAAAAGTGTTGAATGGCCATAGAGCATCAATGTCTAGGATTTTTTTTATCTGTCAGGTCAGGAGAATATGACTATTTATCTCAGAACCAGAACTGTGATCCATGTCTTTGTTACCCCAGGATCAGAGTACTGAGAGGTGCTTTGGTCCACATGGAAGCAGAATGTAATGCAGAGTGTGATTGTGACATCCCATTTAATGCTTATCTTTTCTGTAAGCAAATTATATTAGTTCTCTGGGATCTAAACTGGCCTTTTCTTTAGTTCTTGAATACATTTAAGATTAGCTTTGACTCTTAAAGTCCTAAATGGTTTCAAACCTGACTATTTAGACATCATTTTTCTTCCCATGAAATATTTTAATCAAAGTACTCAAATACAATCCTACTGGTAGAAAAGAGGAGATCTGTAGACAGCATCTATTGGGTAGCATTTTAGCCTTAAAAATCAGAGCTGGTTGCAACTTTCCAATAGAACACTGTTAGGGAGCTTAGACTACAGACAAGTATTACATTCCATTTTTAGCCAGAAGTGCCCATGATTAGGAACTAGTAGCATTTTACATTTTGTTTTAAATGGAAAAAAATAATAGATTTAGGCAGAGCACCTCTAAGAATATGCTTTATTTTTTACCAGCCCTCTCCATCTGTTTTGAATCTCTTTTAAATTTGCTTAATGGAAATGTACTTCTAGTGGAACATAAAACATTCACATTAATGTTCTGTGTTTTCCAGACCTAATACAATAAATAATGAAAGTTAGTTACAATAACTAACAAAAGGTACATTGTATTCTGAGAAGCACAGATAAAGCAAAACAGGCAATATGGCCTTTCCTGTGCAGGATACTTAAACATGTTCCTAATTTTAAGCCAGACAGTAATCTTATTGAAATCAAGACTATTCACATGCTTAAAGTTAGGCACATTCTTAAATACCAGGCTGAATCAGGAGATAAAAAAGACCTTTCAAAATTGCACTCATTGTCCAGACGTATTTTATGCTTTAGTGTCTTTTCATAATCTTCTCCAATCATGGGTATATTGTTACCTCAAAAGAGTACTTTTCAAAGCAAGAAGAGATACAGGAGCACTGTACTTTTTCAAGGAATCAACAATGAGAGCATCACAACATTATTTAGCATAGCTTGCTTTGTGATTGTTGACATATCAGAAAAAATCTATTATTCAGTAGCTTTTTATACTAGCTCTTCCATCTGGGTTGTGAGTCCATGTTAGCACACCGGGTAAAATTGCTAAATATCTGAAGTACCATCTGGTTTGAGAAGTTGAATCTCATGCTGTGAATAATTCTTTGTTTCTATATTTGTATTTGGAAAAACAAAGGGGAAATTTGTTAAACAAATACTTAAACCAACATTCAAAAAGACACTTACTACAGTGATCAATCTATTATATGACTTAAATATTTAGTGGAATCAAATACTATTTGATGATCAGTGGAAATCTTCAGAATCTTTGGTTTTTGAGGGGAGGTGATTGTTAAGCCTTCTTTTTAGCTATTTAGCTATATAACTAGCTACTTTTAGCCATTTAACTATACAGACCATTTAAAATGATAGAAATGTCTTTAAAATAATAGAAACACACTGTGCTATTTTTTCTCTTCACTCTTATTGCTAACATCTGTAGTTGCCCTCAGAACTGATTACAAAAGGTTTAACATCAAAAAATTATTTGAAAAGAAGGTGTATTTATACCCATATTTTTCATTTCACATAAACAGTGAAACAGCTATCCCTAAGAACTCAAGATAGACACTAAACATTTTTAAAATTAGTCATAACCTGTACTGGAAGTATGTCCTCTCCAAGGGTAGTAGCAGTATAAATTCAGGGGAGTTCTTACTGTCGTTTTAAATTGTGTCTTTGGATCTTTCTCCTAATTATAAGGGCTTATATGTTCAAGTAAGGTAATTTTTATCAACTCTAGTGAACTGAGACTTTCACTCATACTTCAGTCCAGTTTGGCCAGTTGCAGGGATCTGATGGTGGCAAGGCATCTACAAGAGCTGTGGGCAGAAGGTAGGGCAGGGTAGCATCTTAGAGCCTAACAGATTCAGTGAGGCATGAGTTTTCATAGACATAAACCTATTTCATCAGATGTTCCCTTGCTTGTGAAACACCATCATGTTTCTTCATTTGACTTCAATGGGTATGTGGCATCACTAGTTCTAGCTTTACTCTGTAACAACCATATCATAGGTAGCAAAAGGGCCTAAATGTTAATTTTCAGCAACTCTAAGAATATTTTTTTAGCTATAATGTTTTTTGTAGTCATCCTTGCCACCTTTGGGAGAGTTAGATAGAAAACCTCCATAAGTTTACCACCTGGCAAATGTTACATTATGCAGTGTGCTGCCATGGGCTTTGGCCAACCCATTCTCCACCACCTAACAGTCCTATATTCTTTTTTTTCAGGGTTTAAAAATGAATGGCTGAGTAGAGGATAAGCAAATCCTGCTCAGTGCAGTATAATGTGGATTAGTTACTGCTTTGCCAAATAGGTTATTTTCCAAGCACGAGATGTGAGCAAAGCACCTATTCCAGGAAATATAAAGAGGATGTAAATTTATGAGACTGGGCCAGAGCGTTCTAAGGATCCCTGGCTGGGACATGAATTAAACACCTGTCTATCACTGACTCCTCCATTGGTTAATGTGAGTCAGAGATTCACTGCAGAATAGAAACATTCATTCTGACTTTTTAAAATATTGGCTTTTAAAAATTCCAGAGAGAAAAGAAGGTTTAAAAATTACAAAATCATGTATTTTATTTCAAAACTGAGCCAATATCCTAAGTAGATAACATGGACATATTCTTAATCAATGAAACCATAAATAAAGTCTTCATGTCACATTGGAATAATTGACTGGTTTCTCACTTCTGGAAGTCTGAGAATGAATTAGGTTCTAATAGCATCAGTTTGCTGTCTCAGCTAAGTTAGCACTCTACACCATAAATAACCACACGGTTTAGCACAAATTTATTTATTTTACAATTTATAAAATGCACTCATCACTAGGTTTATTGGCATGTATACAAAGATAACAACAAAATAAAAACATATTGACTAGATTCAACTAAAGTGAAATGCTTCAACATATCCTTAATAAATATATATAAATCACCCCTAACATCTCCAGGCAAATGCATCACTAAATATTTAAGCCTTGAAAACTGTTCTAAAAGTCAGTGAACTGAGTGAATCTGTAGACAAATTATCAGAAGACTGAAATCCAGAGGTAAGGCCTGTCCAGTGAAAGCTCTCTTATTTAGCCCCACAAAACCCAGATTATAAGATTTAATATATTTCAGTCTATTATCATTCCTAAAAGATTCAGCTGTCCAAGTGATATACAGAAAGAAAGTTTATTTCTAAAGTAGCTAGAACCTAAACATTGGAGCAATATTCAAGTGCTGAATGTCCAAATCAAACATGCACCCACAATAAACTGAAAGCCAGTACAAACTTTAGAAAACATCAAGCACCACTAAATAAGTGAAAGCTATATTTTCTTCACCAGTTTGAAACTTCTTCATAGTATTTAAGAGAAGCCTTATGTAAATGCACTGAAATAATTTAACCAGGATTGCACAGACATAGAGATAGTAAATAGGTTTGCATCAGAAAGATGCATTCAAAAACTCATGGGAAAATTGCATCTTGCTTATGAAAAGTGATAAGCCAAATCTTGAATAACAAAAGGTGAAGTTTGGAAACGTTGGAGTGGTAAAAGGAAAGTTGTTGATCTAGTTATGTAACTTTTATTAATGTATCCATTACAGGCTTGAAGACAGAGAAAATGGCTTTCAGGTGCCTAAATTCCACTGAAAATAAAAAAGAATGAGACACCTCACTGCTATCTTTTTCTGAAAAAATCGTCCTTACTGAGGCACGAACTGATGCTCATTAAGCTCACTGGAAAGAGGATTCAGCCTGAAATTGTGGTATGTCTGATATTTGGGCATGTGAAATACATAGTAATTTACAATCTAACCAAAAAAAAAAAAAGAAAAAAGAACAAGACAGACATGAAATCTGGCCTCCTTGGCCATGTCTACATGAGATGTTTAATTAGTTACTGCAGACTAATTAACTCTGCAATAAACATCTCTCATATACATGGGCGGCCCTATTAGCGTGCAGGAAACTAATTAACTCTGCAGCAGGGTAGTACTTGTAAATACAGTTACAACCTTGCTGCAGAATCTTTTCATGTGCAGCAGCACATATGTAGATGTTGACAGGGCTGGCTGGGGCACAAAGGTGCTTTAGTGCAGGGGCTGCCTGCCAGCTAGTCCCACACTGAAGCACTCTTGTGTCCTAGCCAGCCTCTCCACAGCAAGATGAGCCAGGCTGGAGCAGCCCTGAGCTGGCAGGCTGACCCCTGGGGCCCCTGCAGGCTGGAGCTACTCTACCCTGCCTCAACATGCTATAGTCCCAGGCATACAGGCAAATAGCACACCTGAGAGCAATAAACTCCGGTGCAATATTCACTGGAGTTTATTGCTGTGTGCTAATAACACATGTAGATGCCTCCCTGGGTTGTGCAAAATTTCAGCAGCCATTTTGTTTTGAAGGTGTTTTGGCCCATTTCAGTGCCCAAATCACCGAATCTAAAAGTAAATGGAAGGCTCCAAAACATCTCTAAAACTAAACGAAACCATCCAAAACAGTTCAGAAATGTTTTGGATGTTTCAGATGTTTCAGAGCCAGGCTTTCAGTGAAAGAGAAACTAAGAAGAGGGAGGTGGAAGAGGGGTGGAAGGACTGCTCTGGTATTGACATCTGTAGCTGGCCAGTGTCTGTGATCTGTCCCTTGCAATCCCAGTACTGGGGGGGAGGGATGGAAGCCTGCTGTGCTCCTGTGTGCAGATCTGGGGAGCCGTGAGCCCCAGGAGGTGTCTGGTACTGCCTCATAGCCCTCCCGGGGGCATGGGCCCCTGGATCTGCACACAGGATGACAGCATGTTGCCACTGCCAGCTGCAACCAGTGCCAGCAGCCAACTCTACACTGAGCCCACACCGAGCACAGTCAGGGGAGCCATAGGAGAAGCTCCCATGGCTACCCAGCCCAGCCTCCTGGCTCCCCATGCCTGGGAAGAGGCAGGCACAGCTGGAGGAGCTTCAGGAGAACCATCTGAATCTCTAAAACAGCATTGAAACTCTGAAACAGATTCAGCCGAATCGAAATGGAGCAGTGATCCAAAACACTGAAACTGAAACGAATCGCTTCCTCTAAAATGGCCGAATCTGAAATCAAACGAGACATAGCCATTTTGCACAGCCCTAATGCATCCCTTATATAGGAGTTACAGGCAGAGGATAAAAGTTAGTTCCAGCTCCAAGGGTGTTACAACTGTAGGAGCATACTTTCATCACCAGGGAGAGAGAATCCCTGCCACAGAATTTACTTCCTCCCCAATCCTTACCAGCATCACTTTCCATTTCATCCAGCTCACTCTCATCTATACAGCTTTCTCAGACAAGCACTGGAAAAGCAAGTAAATGGTCTTGGTTCAACAATAATGACGTAGAACTGAATGTCATATACCATATGAGTCTTCCACAGCCCAAACTGTTTCATCTTTGGTTTGGTAATATCTACATATTGAAAAATAATCCAGTTAAAAAGTAAGATTTTTTTTTTCAAAAATTTAATCTTAATCTTTCAAAATATGAAAAATGCAAAGATCCTTAGGAACATATTTTGGAAAAGTTTAATTTTCATAAAAGGAAAAAAAAACAAATTCAACAGGACCTCTCATAAAGGACACAAGCAATTTGACTACTTATATCTATATGACACCTTCATTAGAAAATAACTTGCACAATGAAGCTTTTTTTCTGGACACCCTGGTAATGACTCAGAACCAATTAGTCACCAATATGATTACCAATATCAAGGGCTGGTGACATTTTTGTCAGAATTACTACTAATGTTCAAACTCAAGAGCAGATCTATGGCCCATGTAACTTCTACCACTTCCTTTATTATACTTAGCAAAAAACAGAATCAAATAAGTCACAGTACACAAGATGGCACAAAGCAGTTTGAGATGCCACAGGAGGCATGCTAGGAACAGCACAGACTCTAAATTTGATACCTGGAAATCCTGGTATCAAAAAATAATACCATGGAAAAAAGCAGCACAGGGCACACTCCTGGAACATGTCCTGAGGCAACCAGAGGCTGGGTCCTCCAGAGAGATGCTATAGTATGCAGCCAGAGCATTTCTATAGCTGCTGCTTGTCCCTGATGCTCCAGCATGCTTTTTCAGCATGCTGGAGCAAATAGGAGCAGGCAAGGCTGCAGAAGCAGCAGCTCAGACCCAAGCTCTATCCCAGGTAAGTAGGGATGAGGGTGGGGGGACTGTGGGTTTAGGTGTAGGGGGACTGTAGGTGGTGGGGAACTGCTCTGGAGGGTGGGACCCCCCCTTCTCCCCACATGGCACACAGCCCCCCATAGCAACAGTGGCCATCTGCGCAATTGTGGCCACTCCTGGCAGAGGCCCCAGCTGTGCAGTGCTGCCTGAGATTAAAGTCGGCACATGGCACAGGGTGCCAGCCCTGGCGCATGCTCTCAAACAGGACCAAGCTACTTTTGCTGTCATGTGGTGCTCCTGGTAATGCAGACAGAAGCCTCATGCCCTTGGGCCAGGCCAGGTCCTGCCTCCATGTGCCCCGCGCATCTTTAGGCTGGGCCGGCTTCATGCAGGCAGGACCAGGCCTGGCCTGATAGCACATGGTTTCTGTGTGTGGTGCCAGGAGCCCTGCATGACAGCCAGAGTTGCTCAATCCTATGTGAGAGCACATGCCAGTGGGCCAGGCTGGTGCCATATGCAGCTCCTGGTCTCCAGCGGTGCTGAGTGCTGCCAGAGGGCTGTGCCTGAAGTGTGCCATGAGTGCCCCAACAGCTGCTGCTGCTGCTGGGGGAAGGAAGCTTTGTGCCCCTCCTGAGCAGTGCCCCCATCTCCACAGTCTTCCTGACCCCCACACAGTCCCACTACACCCAAGAACCCCCCACCCACATACCCACCCACAAGCCCCACAACCACTCACAACCCCCTGAACCTCCCCCCAACAAAATTCACACCCTATCTTCCCAACCACCAGATGGGACAGGACCTGCTAGTGGGAGCCATGGCTTCAGGGGCAACTGCTGCACTGCAGCCATGCCCACACCAGTGCTGGGACATGTGGCCCCAGCCTGGCAGTGCTCCTGGTCCCAGGAACCACTTGGGGAGTGTGATGGGCTGGGGGTAGGGGTGGAGGTGCCAGCAGAGGTGTGTGAGAAAGATGGGGGTTGGGGATGGGATAAGTGCTCTGGGTAGAAGAAAATGCCAGAGCTTGGCTTAGAGCCACCTTGCCCACTTACAGCAGCCTGTGCAGGGTGAGGCTGGTTTGGAAGGGAAGGGGCTTGCCTGATCCAGTCCCTGAGCCCCCATCAAAAGCTTTGCAGGAACAGCATGGGGATCACTGGAGCCTGGGCACAGGTGCAGGAAACACAACAGCAAGGGCTGGCATTGCTCAGAGCCACAAAGGAGCAGGTAGAACATGTCCTGGTTCTGGGATGGAGCTGCTGCCAGGAGGGAGCTAGTGGGGTCTGGCACGGGCTGCAGGTCAGAAGTGGATGGCACTGTCAGGACTGTGGGTTGGGAGTGAGAGGCAAGGGCAGGAGCAGGGCACTGGCATATCAGCTGCTCAGAATCCCACATCTTGGTGAGTGAAGGGGGCAGGAGCACCTCTCACTTTTTCTATGATAAAAAAAATACAAAAGCAAATGCCAAAGTGTATAGATATTTAGAATTCATTTTATTATGAAGATAGAGGAACTGGTAGGCTTTAAAATTGTAAATATATCAATAAAACATCACTGAGCTTATGTCTCTGTATAAAGTGGTGCTTTATTGTAATCACAGAAGAACATGTATTTGGGGTATTTTAATGAGAGAATTTGGGTTTCTTATCAGAGAATTTGCAATTTTTAAACAGGAAACACTAGGATCCCTGCTTCTGAGGCAAGTGGTGGGACCTGGACAGAGGAATCTGCCCAGGGCCAGCACTGGGGACGCAGCTGGAGGGCAGATGAGGTGGCTGACTTCCTAGTCATTTGAAGACAGGAGGACATGCTTTGACAGTTTAGTGGGCCATTGCAAGAAGCACATTTTCTGGGTGTATGACAGCAGTGCTGCCAGAAGGCTAACTGTGTAGCCACAGCCCAGTGGAAGCTGGCCCAGAGGTTCAGTAGGCTCTGCTGCAGTGCCTGTACCAGAGCCTAGGCAGCTGTGAGGTTCCTGTCTGGGTCTTGCAGGTGTGCAGACATTGGGCCACAGGTCCAAGGGGACAGATGCTGTTTCAGGTGGCAGCAGGTCACATCCAGGCAGCAGCCCCCCACCACCAGATTTCTGCAGTGGGTAGAGGGTGGATGGGCAACTCTAGCTTAAGGCTGCTTCATCAGTCCAGTTGGCACAAGGGGCTAATGTCCCCAGATACCAACTTGCTGGGCCTAAGAAGCTCCTGAAGGTAAGCAGCCATGAGCTGCTTGTGAGGGCAGCTTTATATACTGCTGGAGCCAGCACAGGTGGTGGCTCCAAGTTCTAGCTCCTCCTGGCTGAAGATCCAGGAGTAGGTGGGCATGGTTAGTTTGCCCCAAGTGGCACAAGTTGCCCCACACCAAAGTGCATGTTCAGGCATGTGTGCTGAGGCACAAATTTGTGCCGCTGCCAATTGAAGCACATACACTATACACCCCAAAAGTTAGACACAGATCACTAATTTGTATATCATGCACACAATGACATATACACACACTCACCAGTTCACACACACAACCCACCGGTCAGTTCCTAACTTGGATGGTATAGGGTGTCAGTGTGCATTGGGGTACCTGGGGGAAGGTTCAGGTGAGGGAGAGAGTTAAAGCATAGGGAGTGAAAGTTGCCAGA